AACTGTTTTAAAAAATATAATCTCTGGTTCACAAAGAGCAGGACACAACATACAAACAGGCACCCGGGGTGTCTTTATTCACTGGAAAAGGGAAGCAAGGCAGAGGCTCATCTGTTAAGGCCTCACCTAGAACATAACAGATGTACAGATTTCATTGTAAATGGAAATGCCTTCACAATGGTCTTCTTGTCCTTATTGTGATTTATTATATGCTAGTTGTATGTATGTGCATGGTTAGGTATGAGATTACAAGCATATGAGTGATTCCTTCCCAGAGGTTCAGGACACTGTTTCTGTCTGCAGTTGGAGTTAAAGTGGTAAAGTAAAAAATGTGACTGCTGGAAACTGAGCTGAAATATTCTGCAATCCTAATCTCTGAGCCATCTCTCCATCTGTTGTTATGTTGATTAAATAAGAGCAGTTCCGGTGAAGAAACTATATTATCTGACTAAATAACAGTCATGAAACTGTTCTACGTGCATGTGGAGAGATTCTTTTCTTTTTATTAGATTTTTAACATAAAAATAATAAAGGTATTTCCAATTTAATTAAACTCAAGGGTCTAGAGTGTCATCTCATTCATCTGTGGTCACTTGCAAACTTTCTGTTTCACATAGTGTATGTTCTAAAGTTCCAGGTTTATAGACTACCATAAATCTAAGTTGAATGTTCTGTTGTTTTGGGGGAAATATTTGTCCAGCTTGATGATCTTAGAAAGGTATAGATGAGCCGGGTGGTGGCGGCGCACGCCTTTAATCCCAGCACTCAAGAGGCAGAGGCAGGTGGATCTTTGTGAGTTCGAGGCCTCCAAAACAATACAGAAAGAAAGGTATAGATGAATGCATACCCAAGATCATTTAGATTCAATAATTATAGATATAGATCTTACACAGAAAGATAACACAAAGATTTCTTTCACTCTATTTTGATTTCATAAGTTAGATGTAGTGACTGTAAAAATGTTGACCATGTTGCTACTTTATTTAAAAAACAGAAATGGCCCTTCATGACATTGTAGGTAGCTGAGTATCTGTGAATTTCTTCTTGTTTATATACCATTTTCAATACATTTTAAATCTTGAGTGATAAGCCACTTGGGCTGGGCTGGAAAATATATATATTCTTAGTTTTGGTAGTCTTTTAACATCATTCTGCATTCTCTTTCAAAATTACTTGTACAGGAAATTAATTCAGCCATCAGCTCTCATATGTCCCCTATGTACTCTGTATTAATACTATACATCCTACTATGCATACTATGACCTATCTATCATATATTATACACATAAATTCTTTACTGCTTTGCAACATTGGTGGCTAACATCATATGTGACATGCCAGGGAGCAAGGAGAATAACAGGCAATGCTTCCAGTGCTCAATGATCTAATTTTCTTTCACAATGGTCTCCATTTTCACCAGGCCATGAAATTTCTTTTTCTAGGTCAATTTACTATGAGTCAATTTGCTATGAGAGTCAATTTAGCATGGATTTTTTAGATTTTTGTGTCCTGGGAATCTATAATTGTATATTTGAAATGCCTAAATGTTTCATGTACCTTCAACATTTGAAAGGGGAAACATAAAACTTAGACCTATGTCAACTCTCAGGAAATTTGAGCAACAAGACAAAAGTAAGGCTACATAATGGTCTTTCTGGTTTGTTTTTAATAACTGTTGCAATTAAATTTGTAAGCAATTTCCTTTGTTCCCAGAAGAAAAAAAAGCATAAACATTACAATCACAAAAATTCCTAATTCTTTCTGTGGAAATATTTATAAATTACAAGTAAGTATGGCTTCTTCTGTAATGACTATGTTGAGAGAATGATAATGTCCATGTTATAACTGAGAGAAGAGAGAGCTTGCATGTCATTTTGAGACAATATAAACGAACAGGGTCATTAACCCATTACAGGAGAAAATTAAGAACTTTTTTGTAAGCAGATCATGAAATGACTGAATGACACTTTTAAATAATTGTTTTCTACATACTGTTTTTAAAATCCTGCACTAACATTGGAGTAGTTTTGCCATGAAATGAAAGAAAATATAATGCTTCATTATAGAAAAAAATTTCTAAGCAGTTTTCATACTTAAGATTTTTGCATCGAAACGTGGATAGGTGTCATCTTTTGTCAATTTGTGAAATTAAATAATTATTTGATGAATCAGAAGAGGTAAGCTAATTTGACCATTTGTTGTCACACTGTGATATTTGTTGCTAATAATAGCCTTTCAAGCAAAAAAAGAATATTTTTGAAAATATTTAATTGCATTCTGGAGTTGTGGTGGGTTTCAGAAAAAATATTCTTTTATGGTATTACAAATCTGCACCATTTGAGAGGGCTTTCTCTAAAGCACTGACTATTTGACAGATTTTAATTTTTAAAACATTTTGCTTATATGGTTGTAACAGATCTTCTGGACTTGAAGTTACAGACATTTGTTAGCTGTTATGTATCATGTGGGTGCTTGAAATGGAAATCGGGTCCTCTGGAAGAGCAGTAAGTGCTGTTAATTGCTAAGCCATCTCTGAAGTCAATGTCTCATACTTTTAAAAAATAATTGATTAATGACATCTATAAACACTTTACTTTGAAAATGGAGCATATCTGTTTTTGGATATGAAAATGAGATTATTTACCAAATTTCCAGTGCTTATGATTTGGGGTGTTTCTTACTCTTAAGACATCAGTGAGTTTCCAAAATTTCAGTGCTAATGTGATCTTAGAATCATTAAACAAACCTTTAATATTTTTAAAAACTATCTAAATTAGGCAGTTTTCTCCTATACTTTATAAGAAGTGATGCTTTTTGATTATTTTAAGAAATGTATCTTTGAAGCGCCTTAAAATAATATTATATCCTAAGTCCCTGGAGGCCCAGTGTCTTCCATTTCACAGAATGGTGTAAGTGCCCCTGAAGTATCCAGTAAAATAATGCCAGTGTTCCATGCTTCCCAAACCGATGCAGAAAATATTTCATGAAGACTCATGTTCAGTAAATGTTGTTTATCATTTGAATTGTTTCAGTTCTCAGTTCCCAGTATCACATATTAAACACCTGTACTATAGTTATGTCTACCATATTCAACCCCCATACTCTTTCTTCTTCAGGGTAGAGCCCTGTTATGTTTTCCACCAAGAGTCAAAGCATGATCTGTTTCTTATTCTCAGTCACCAGTACTGGAATATTCCTGCTCACTTGGGATGTTACCTTGAATATAGCCATTTTTTACGGTTCTCTCTCTCTCTCTCTTTTTATTTTCCTCAGCTTATTGTAACATTCCCATTTACTTTTAGTATTCTTGATGCAAAGCCGAAGCAAGGGTTATTTATGTCTTTAGTACTTCACCGTTGAAGCTCACAACAGTTTAACTGATAGTACCATCAATGAGCTTTCTGATTTCCCTAAGATATAAAACTCGTGGTGACCAACTACTTTCAACAGCAATAACATTATTCTCACATTTCTTTCTCTCAGAACCTACTTGCAGTTTTATTCTGGACTTGTCAAGCCTTGACTCTGAACACCTGTGGAGAAGGGTGGGTTGAGACATGAATGGGTCATTAGCTCAAAGGCAATGCTTGGCTTATAAAAGGTTTCAGAAAGGAAGCAGTCTTGAGAAACAGTGAAGGACATCCGTATCGATGTCCCCTCTCATCTTTCTTTGCCTGTCTTTTTTGGGTGCAAACTTCCACGGTGTGGGATCTCAAACAAAGCAGGCCTACTTACTTGTGACTGATTCAGTACTCCCGAACTCCTCCATCACCTGCTAATTTGGTTCAATTAAAATCTGGTCATAGGGAAAAACCTACGAATTAAGCTCCCTAAGAAAAAACATGTGATTAATTTGTCTTAGTATTTTAAAGCTGGTCTTCTCAAGGCCGAATGCCGGGGTCAGTCTTATAGAAACCGTTCTTCCTGATCACTTTATGTCATGTCCATGAACAAAATACATTTCCTCTTCTTTCTCTTCTTATGGATAGTGCTGGAATTTTAAAAGAAGTTTGCTAACATTTCCTGCTATTTTCAATTAGAAAAACTTTTCATAGCCAGAAGAGCCTTACAAAGCAGGGGCACTCAGTGTGCCCCCACTTACATATTTGCCTTTTCATTTTTCCCTTACAACGGTAAGATAAAACAGTGCTATCATCTCTGTTTTGCAATTGAGAAGTCCTCAGAAATAAACATTTGGCTAAACCACCACAAAGGGTTATGCGAAGAGCTTTGGGATTTGAACCCCCAGGTCGGGGAGCTATGCACAGAAGTTGACATGGAATCTGTGAAAGACTAAATGAAGAACAACAACAACAACAAAGTGATTTTTCCCTCACTTCCAAGTCTTCCACAAGTCTCTTCCACGAGTTCTTGGAGGCAGGTAGGAGGTGTTCAGCGCCCTATACTTAGCCTCTCCCACGCCCTCTGCAATCTCTCCCTTTGAGGCTGGGAGCCTTAGAGATTGCTTCTACAGCTGGTGAGTGGGCAGGTGCAGCCACCATCTGCTCAAGGAGCCCAAATGCGCAGAAGAACTTCGCACCCAGGACCAAACCCAGGCACCAAGGAATCCAGAACCAGGGGGTGTGGGGTGGTGTGTGTGTGTGGGGGGGGAATAATACCGCTAACCCCGCCCCCTCGCGGTGGCGATTGGCCGAACCCTTCTCCAGGGCTCAGCACCTATTCCTGAACGGGGCTGAGTTCGCACGTGGACACCTCTCAGAAGGTGAGACCAGCCCCGAGTGAGCCAGAGGGGGCTTTAGAGCTTCCTGCCCGAAGGGTCCTTGAGAAGCCTGTTTGTTTTTCCCGGCGCTGGTCTCCACCCATCCCTCGCTGCCATTGGCCAGATCTGGTGGGTGGGTGTGTTTTCATTGGCCAGGGGGCGGGGCCTATCCCTGGCCAGGGTAGGGGCGGGGCCTCCGCCGCGCTGTGCTTGCCCTTGTGTCTGGTGCTCGCTAGAGCTGCTGCTGCCGCCGCCGCCGCCGCCGTCGCCGCCGCCGCCGCCGCCGCCGCCACTGCTGCTGCTGCTGCAGCCGGAGCATCCGGGAGCCGCCGCCACCGCCGCCGCCGCTACCAAGCGCTGCTACCGCGGCTGCCGCCTCTTCTAACTGGACTCTGACACCGGAGCGCGAGCGGCGGTGCTGCCAGCTTGCTGCCCCTGTCCCCCACCCCTCCCTCCCGTGACCTACCCACTCCTAGCAGCCCTCGCCTGCACCTTCCTCGACACCCAGGCATCTCCGCATCACCTGCTTGGGCAGCCTCCGGGCGGGCCAGGCGGGCTCTGGGACTTGCCGCCGCGAGCTCCCCGAGAGGAAGGCAAGCTCCAAACCGGTGCCGGGCAGACCGGGTGTCGGGGCTGCACCGCCAGCAGCCTCAGGAGAAGAAGAAACTATTTAGCCCACCGAAACCGTATTGTGCGGGTGCTCTGCCACTGCCGCTTCAGCTGCCGGCCACCCGCTTCCGCGCGTGTTCGAACACCGCAGCTGCGGGATCGCGGGTCCGGCGGGAGCCGGGAGGACGACAACCGCGGGAGCCTTTGCACTGCGTGCTACGCTCAAGCAGCACCTCCTCGCCCCCCTCGATCCTTCCCCAGACCCTTAGAGAAGGGACCATGATTTGGAAACGCAGCGCGGTTCTCCGCTTCTACAGCGTCTGCGGGCTCCTGTTACAAGGTAATCCCCGCCCCGCTGTGGGGAGCATCACTTCACGCCCATTCCCCATCCTCCCCATTCCACCCCGTATTTCCACTCTCCCCTGGCAATCCCCCAGTGCCCGGCCGTTTCCACTCCCTCCCCCTCCGCCCGGGTGCTGCAGGGGGCAGTGGCAGTTTGCACCAGCCGCCTGGTTCTCTGGCGCTGCCTCAACCCAGCTCCGGCAGCAGGCAGCTCCTTAAGCGGCACCTTTCGCCTTTTCATTCACCTGAGCTGCCTTCATTCCACCCCACTCGATCCCCGCCAGCACCCCCCTCCCACTCCGGGTGGCTGGCAACTTGTGCCTGCCTCAACATTCCGTTCTCCCACCCACCCTCGCCAGCCACCTCCCACATCACGCTCTTAGGCGACCCTCTCCACCTCTTGTCATCTCTTTAACCTCCTCCCCTCTTAGGGTTGCCTTCCTCCTTTCCGCTCTCCCCACCAGCATCTCATCCATGTGTCTTTAGAAAGTGTGTGAGAGCCTGGGAGTGAGCTACCGCGACGGCAGGAACAGCAGCAGCGGCGGCACCGTGTGCATTGCAATAACATCCCCGGGGTGGGGGGTGGTGGCGGTGGAAGGGGCTTGTGAGACGTGTCATTCACCTAGGAAGAGAAGGGAGACTCTGTCTGGGCTAGAGAGAGGAGACCGAGTGAGAAAAGAAAGGAGAGAGACAGAGAGAGAGACAGAGAGAGAGAGAGAGAGAGAGAGAGAGAGAGAGAGAGAGAGAGAGAGAGAGAGAGAGAGAGAGAATATGAATGAAACAAATTAAAAAGGAGCGAAGGGACAGTTTAAAAGACATAAATCCACTTTATCAACACATCGACTTTTTATTACCCAGTCTGTGTGATTTGCGCTATTATTTTTTTTTTCAAGCAAAGAAATGTATGCTGGCAGTTACTTCACTGCTTTGGATTTTCTCTCAGAATCTCTACCTGTCTATCCTCTGTCTGCCGCTTCTTTGCGTAATTAATATCATCCTCTCACGTGAAATGTAAAAGCCCTGCGACTGCAGTGGAGGGAAAGCACACAAAACAGTTATTATGCAAATCACCGGTGTGGATGCTAGGCGGCTAGGGAATGCGGGTTCATTTCGCCCCAGACCTTCTCTTGTGGACGATGGAGGGGTTGGATGTATGAAGGGAAGACGATGCTAATTTTGAAATAAATGGCAATGCGCGAGTTAGTGTGTGCGGGAGAAGGTACTTTGGGTGGTGGAAGAGACAGAGGCTGCGTGCGTGTGCAGGGACTGAAAGGAAGATTGTTGCTTTGAAGAGTAGTACAGGGATGCGGCTTGAATGAGAGATATGGGAAGGATGGATGCGAGACGATGGTGGGTGACTTTTTTCTTGATAAATCATTGTCCACTCCCAACCCTTCTGACATCCATTGGATATCTGTGAGAAAGATAAGTTGATCGGATTATTTGCTCTGGGTAAAAGGTATGTGAAAGTGAGACACACGTAGACACGCGGGTGATCAAACCCCAAACGGTTTTTTTTTTAAAGATTTAAATGAGGTCAATGAACCATCTTTCAGCAAGTTCTTGGAATGCAGCCTCTTTCCTATCGTCTTCTGGGGGTACAGATTGGGACACTATTATATTTGTGCATATTTGTGGATGTGAATGAAGTGATGAGCAGAAAATTACTGAATCAATTAACTAACCATTTACAGATGTTTCCTGGAATATATGGTGCGAATTTTATGTATTTTACATTGGATATAAATGTAAAATGTCATGTGCCAGAATCTCCAAGAAAGCAGAAAGTGATTTTTCCCTGCTCACACCTCCTAGTCCAATTTCCCAACGCTCACACCCCCACCCTCTTATAAGTAACCCAGGTGGCTGAGGCTTTACTTGGATTTCTAATCCTGCCGAGAAAACATCCTCTCAGAGTCCCTAGTTCACCTCTCAGTAACTTGGATCTCTCAGCTGTTTTCTCCCTCCTCCTTCCTCCCTCCTTCTGTGCGTGCGTGCGAGTGTGTGTGTGTGCCTGTGTGTGTGTGTGTGTGCCTGTGTGTGTGTGCGCGCGCGCTTGTGTGTGGTGTGCACGTGCGCGCGCATCGCGCCCGCGGCCAGCACCGGCATGCACCAGTTAGGGGATGAGAGATGTGGGGAAATCAGTTAATTTGGTGATTGTGATGAAAATCCGGCACAGCTGAACGTGTCTTCTCTGCTAGTCTCAGTGTGGTGGCACGGGTTGGTCATTGCACACGCGGCCGGCTGGTGGGAAGAGATTATTTATTATAGAGCATGTGGGCCACGCTCTGCACTTGGGGGTCGCCTCCTTGCTTCTTCAACATTTCCCTGTGAATTGTCTATTCAGTGCACTGAAAATAACTGCCTGCTTGTGCTTTCTCTCTCTCTCTCTCTCTCTCTCTCTCTCTGTGTGTGTGTGTGTGTGTGTGTGTGTGAGAGAGAGAGAGAGAGAGAGAGAGAGAGAGAGAGAGAGAGAGAGAGAGAGAGAGAGAGAGAGGATTTCCTCTTTCTTAACCCAGAAAGGAGAGATTCCATCACAGGCATGGGTCTTTTTTATTGAGTATATAAACCAAGGACTAAGACACAGCTGCTTTCCCCAACAGACTAGAGGAAACAGGGCAGGGAAGGGGTGTGAGTAGGGCAGGGGAAATGCACTACTGCAGCCAGCAGCAGCACCAGCCTCAGGTCCAAGTAAATAAATAAATAAATAAATGAGCATCCTCCTCAGCAGCCATAGAATGAGCACCAGGTCCGTGATGTCTGTATACTCTTGAACATCTTACTCCATATTAAAGAGGATTTAAAAAGAGGAGAAAGGGGAGGATAGGGCAAGCCCTCTTGAATTGTCTTCTGTTCATGGCTGCCTCACATTTATCAAACCCTGGCTCCTACAGACATATCATACTTTGTTGATGTTGTCCGTTCTTCCTCAAACAAATTGCTCACGCCTGCCTTTTCTTCCTTTTGGCTATAAACATTCCTTTCCGATTCTGATTTATGTCTCTCCTACCAGCCTACTGTTGGATTAGGTCTTGGTTAGACTGGGGAATAGCAGGCTTTATTTCCCGAACACATATTAAACAAGTCACAGGTCTTTCTATGTACAGGGAAGAAAGTGTATGAGGGGCGGGGTGGGGGGGGAAATCTAGTGAAAAGCTGATTTTGGCTAGGGGCAGTTTGTCCTGTCTGCTAGTAGCTACAGCCAGGGAAATGCTACAGTTAGTCAGTCAGCCAGTAGCTTCTTATTTCCTGGCTTTAGTAGTTGTGTGGTGGCCTTCTGTCACTTACTGCTAATCAATTTATGTATCCCTTAAAATATTCCTATTTTTTATGTAGTATGCAGCACAGAGGAAGAGACTCTTTTTAACATGCCTTCTCTGTGTTTCAGTGTTTTTTACTTTCTGTTCTATATTGTCACTTTTTCTTTTTAAATTTTTTTGGAAACTAAATTAAGATTCATTTCTTAATACAAGGAAAAATAAGCCAATGGTCACATACAAATCAATGATAAAATGAAGTCAGGGTAGTTGCATGGATGGCTTTCCTTGGTCTCTTCTATATCATTTGAAAGTTTGAACCCAATGGATCCTTACACAGCAAAAAGACAGGAAAACAATATGTTCTACCCAGTATTTGTTTCTGACTATAATATAGCTGGAGAAATACAAAAGTAAAAGAGAAAATGAGATTCAGCTTTAAGGTTAAAGTCATGTTTTTTTAGTTTCCCATATCAAGGAAAGAAAAAATCAAGAGGATGGGAGACTCAATATGGTGTAGAATTCGAAGCACACAAGCTGAATGTCTGTAACGCGAAGACCTCATTTGGCCACGAAGCAGAATCTGTTCACTTCACCTTTTCTAAAAACCACGCAGCTTCCCATGCCTGAAGGGCCACTGCTGAGTTGAAGAGGGTCCTGTTCGTGTAGAAACAAGCCTGGAATAAAAAAAGAAAGAAAGAAAAATGTAACAGAGAATAGATATGTGCAGAGACACCTGATTTGGCTGAATATTTCCTCTTTATTTTACAGTTAGTCTTACAGAAAAAGAAATGTGCCGCACAATACAGGCGCTGTACTACTTTCTGCTATGACTTATTCTAATTAATGAATTGCTATACTTACTAATAAACGTCTTCAGAATAACGCTCAGGTGAATACACCTGCTACTTACCCTTTTGTACAGGTCAGAATCATGAACTTTACCAGAAAAGGAATTATATGTATTTACCACCACACAAATGCTTCTCAAACCCCTCACTTTTTTTTAACCCGTACTCAAATAACTAAGTCATTTCAAGACCATTTCTTACAGTCAGAGAAGTTGGAGTAGAGTGCACTTTACTCCTCCTTTTGTTGATAACAGACTCCATGAAAGCAGAGTCTGTAGGTGGGGGCCAAAATCTGACATGCTGACGAAGTTCATTCCCAAATAAGTAGTAATTAAGAAAAATATCCTGCCAAGGGTTCTGAGTGTTTTGACTGGTTTCGTCTCAAGATACTGAAGACTTTCTCATTGCCATTGTCCCATTTCTGCAACTACAAGAATGCAGGAGTACAATATATCTAAGCAGCAACCGGTATCACTGTCCCCATGTCCTCCACCAGTGAATCTAAAATTTAAATAAAACTGTATGCCCGCATGGAAACTGTGAGATTGTATCATCTTTCTTAAAGGAAAAAAATTGACTTAAATCACTTAAAGAGTAAAATGTAAGTGGAAAAATTGTTGGGTCACATCCTAACTGTGCTTGTAAATGGGTCCTGGAATAAACATTGCTTGACATTCCTTTTGCAGTTAAGACCTGGACCCTGTAGGGATATACTGACTGAAAAAAAAAGCTGAATCACCTGTTTAAAGAAGCTGCGGACACAGAAACAGTGTGATGTGATTGTCACTGTAATGTGTTGCTGTGGTTTCATTCTGATGTGTGTCCTAAAGTTTATCATTAAACACGTTGGCTTCAGTTCTGGAGTCTGAGGAGGTTGAAGAAACAGGAGG